GGTTTAGGGTTTAGGGTTTAGGGTTTCGGGTTTAGGGTTTAGGGAGTTTGCAACTTCTTATAGGGTCCTACAGGGACTCGCATAGCGGTCGGGCGTTCTGCCAGGGCAGCCTTGCTTCCTCCGGATGATAAGCGAGCCTCGTCTGCCTTGGTTTAGGGTTTAGGGGTTTAGGGTTTAGGGTTTAGGGTTTAGGGTGAGGAGTTGGGGATGAACGGCATGCGGGCAACTAATATAGGGGCCTTAATAGTAAGAATGGGGTCGGGGGGTCCATTATACTGTAATTTTAATAAGGCACCCCCCAAAAACCCTATTCAAATTGTTAAGGCCCCTACATTATCTCCGCCAGCTCTCTAGATGTTGCCTCGTCCACGCCTGCGCATACCGTCTTTGATCTGAGTGCGCCATGCCGAATCCGTTAGCCGAATTTCCATGGCAGCAATTTTTTGCGGCCGTTTCCTTGGGGTTCTGTTGACGCCAGCAGATGACACCAGTGCAATTATAGACCCATCTGGAAGAGCTGCAGAAGGGCACTATCGGGATATCACAAGTGGCTGCCTCGTCTTACTAGGTATTAAGATTAAAGGCGTTAGGCTTATCAGTAGAAGACCAAGAAGCTGAGAACCAGAAGCAGCTTGCCTGTTGTGGGCCAAGCATGCCAGGTTGCCCCCTTATGGGGTTGAGGGTTTAGGCTCTATCATCTTCATCATCACCACCATCATAAGCCCTTCGCAACCCCAAAGCCCAAACTCCTAAACCCTAACCCCTAAGCCCTAAACCCTAAGCCCTAAACTCCTAAACCCTAAACTCCTAAGCCCGAACCCTAAATTAGCCCCTCAGAACTCTCCTGGACGGATGCTCCGCTCCCCCGGGCTAGGGGCTCCTTCGAAGACTTGCAGCTTTCTACTTAAAGGATCTTGGGGTTTAGGGTTTAGGGTTTAGGGGACGGGACTTAGTCATTGGGGCTATAAGTAAGGGAGCTACAGTTATAATTGCCTATAACCCCGATTTAAGATGCTTGTAGCCTTACTTACTAGGTCCCATGAACCTCCAAGCATCGGGCGTGTTTAGAGTTTCAGGTTTTGGGCTTAAAGATGTTTAAATGGTTTAGAGTTTAAGATTTAAGGTGTGTGGTATAAAGTTTTGGGTTTAAGTTGAGGGGTTTAAGTTGAGGTGTTTAGGATTTAGAGAACGGGGGCTTCGGGTTTAGGCTGTAGACTCGTTATGTGGCTTGGGGTATATTATATGATCACTGTATCTGGAACTATGAAGGGACCTCATTCCTCACCTTTCTGACCCGTATGCCTTATATCCCTATAGCCTATTCCTGCAGCTGTAGCCCCAAAGGCCCATGTACCAAATATATATATATATATATACATATATATGTATATATATATATATATATACTTTGGCACCCAAAATACATACAGAGGGACTACTTTAAGGCCAAAGTATATACCATATGGGTACATGGACCCTAAAAGGGTAATGTAGGGGCCCTCATAATTAGAACAAGGTTTTTGGGTGCTCCTTATTATAATTATAGTAGACTTTACCCCAAACCCTATTCTAATTAATTAAGGCCCCTACAGTAAGCCCTCTTGGAGCGCAGGAAATTCCAAACTTCCGCAAATCTTTCGGTGAGGCCCGCACTGTAGCTCGGCTTAAGGTTTGCGGTTTAGGGTTTAGGAGTGTTTGGCAAACTTTCATGAATCATGAGCCTTGGCCCTGGTAAACCGGTAGCGCCCCAAAAGACCACTTGAGGATCCTGCTACATTTTGCGTAAGAGAGCCCGCATGGAAACCTTAAAGCTCAACCCTGCGCCGTGAAGCCTCACCCGACAACCCCAGCAGCCACAAACCCCAGATCGCAGCCCGTGCGGAGCATAATCAACACTGTGCTGGAACAATGACTGCAACTGGGGTCATACACGTATATAAATATACACATGGATACATACATGTAGCCACATACTCTAATTTACCTATCTCTTTATGAGTTGTAGTTGCATTCAACCCTATGTTTTGTGTTTACCATTATTTTTATATTTGCACTAGCTCTGGGGTGTACGACTTACTGATTGGTCCGCTTATGTACATAGACATGATGCATATCTGTTTGCTTGTTTTTGTATTTAAGAAAAGAAACAATGCTCGCGGCCCCTAGACCCTAAACCCTAAACCCTGAACCCTACTCCCTGCTGAAGCTTGAACCGATCCCAGAGACATCGGCAGCCTGCTCCATAGATGGACCCATGGCCTGTGGCCACCCAAAACGATAAGACAGGGTTTAGGGTTTAGGGTTTAGGGTACCGTTTTCTGGTATATTCAACTGTAAGTCTATGAGGACCATCTGGGGTGTTCTTGCCACTTATTCCAACCCCTACATTGGCAGGCTTTATGTGGATTACGGAGTTCGAAAGCCAGGTTTGCGCTTATTCCGACTTTTTTGTTGGGTTCTTACGAGTTTGTTTTACTGGGTTCTTGTTGCGGAAATGAATTTACATTACCATGAAGAGGAAACCCTAATATTTATGATAGACCCTTCTTTATGGCAAGTGAAATTTGGCTCCTCAAAAAGAGCCCAGTGGAGTTCGGCGGCTTGATTTTCTGGTGCTTCGGGTGTCAGTAGGATTTCGTTCCGGCGAGTTTAGGGCTTGGCGGTTTTTCGGGTTCGATCTCAGGGTTCAGGGTTTGGGGCGTTTAGGGTTTAGGGATTCAGCTTCAGGGTTTAGGGTTTAGGGTTTGGGGCCTAGGAAGCTAGCTCCCTAAACCCAAACCCATAAACCCAAACCTTAAAGACAGCTCATGACTGGGCGGGTCTAAACCCTAAACCCTAAAGTCTAAACTCAAAACTCTAAACCCTAAACCCTAAAGTCTAAACTCAATACCCTGAACTCTAAACCCAAAGCCCTAAAGAACATCACCCCTACTTGGAGGATCCGGCGACTTAGCAAGTGGGGTATCATCTTAGTGGGTTTGGGGTTGCGGCTTCAGGGTTTAGGGTAAAGGGTTTGGGGTGTAGGGTTGGGCTTAGGGTTCAGGGTTTTGGGTTAAGGGTTCAGGGTTTAGGGTTTAGGGTTTAGGGTTTAAGGTTTAGGGTTAAGGGTTTAGGGTTTAGGGTTTAGTTTTCAGGGTTTAGGGTTCAGGTCTTGGAGCATCCGGGGACTTGGTAAGAAAGGCTACGGAGCTTACGAGGGTTCTACAAGGATTCTACAGGGTTCCCGTAGAGATTCTAAAGGATTTCTGTAACTACGGTTATAAGTACCTGAATTGGTGTGATAAGATGCCATACTTATAGATACCTTGTTTATAACCCTAGTTGCTACGTCCCATGGTGATCCTTGAAACCTAAACCCGTATAGATCCCTCGCAGAACCCGGTAAAGACCACTTTTAGTTAGTGCGTCCCATGATCCTTCATGTAGATGCTGCTAAACGCAAACTGCACTGACCGGCGCACCCTCGGCACAGAAGGCGTGCTTGTCCTTTGCAGAGGTCGGTAGCTTCTCACAACAAAATCCTCAACTCTGTCTCTGTTGCTTTGAGGTTTGGGGAGGTATAGGGCCTATAGGGCTTGAAATGAAAATCTTACCTGCGAGGTTCGATTTTTCGACGTGCGGGGCTTGGAGGGTTTTGGGTTTAGAGCTTAAGCCTTGGGCTTGGATTCACGCATGAGAGTCTTCAGTTTCGGGCCTGCTACGGCAGATGCATCCATGCCTAACATCGCCCCCTACTCTCTAAACCGTAAAGCCCTACGTCTTAAACCCTAAACCCTAAACCCTACGCCTTAAACCCTAAACCCCAAACCCTAAAAACCCTACGCCTCAAACCCTACTCCATAAGGTGTATGCCCTACACCCTGAAGCCCAAGACTTGGGTCCCATAGTCTGACTGCTTCCATGATGGGCTGACTCAGGGAAGGGAGGTTAGGATTTAGGACTTAGGATCGCAGAACATAGCGGACCCCAAGAAAAAGTCTTGATACCAAGGCGGACCCAAAGATAAAGTCTAGATACCAAGATTCCGAATCTGGGGCCCCAGACAAAAGCAGCCCCCCCTGTAAGAGGAAACACCCTAAACGCTCGACTTGGAGGCTATACAACACTATACAGCAAAGAACCTACGAAACAAAACCCTAACCCCTGAACCTTTCAACCTTTAAGAAAAGGTATCCCTGCTTCTGCACCCTGTGCCTCAAGCTTTGAGGTCCGACCTTACTCCAGGAGAAGTCCCTAAACCTGAGCCTAGTCCCGGAACCTTCAACCAGAGCTGAATGATGATAATGGGGTTTCGGGGTATCTTACACTACAAATATAGCAAGGGACTCCCATGATAGTATTGGCAATTTTGTCGGCCCCTGTATTGAATCCCTAAACACTAAACCCTAATCCCTGTAAGCCCTGAACCCCAAACCTGAATCTGTTAGGTTGGTGCTGTGCTCCTTCTCGGGGCAAATTCGGAGGCCCCGCAGATTCAACACAGGATGTGTGTGATAATGAAGACAAACACATCTGACGGTTGTGCCACGACCTTTGGAGCCTGCATCCAGCCCCAAACTCATCATTCGGGCCCACACCCGCCAGAACCTGTTTGTTTGAGCCACCTGCACAATGTGCTTGAGCCTTTGAGCCAATCTTTAGGGGTTTAAGGTCGTTCGGGCCGTTAGGGTCAGTAAAAACGTTAAGAGTGGACAGGAAGGGAGAATGATATATTCCCAAATGTTATGTGGGAAGAGAGATATGTTCAGAATGAGAAAATATAGGAAAATTGATCATTCCCGAGATGGCGCTGCTCCGTCACCACGAAACTGACTTGTTTCTCTGGCCCCCTTGCAGATTTACATAGTCCCAAATGTTATGTGGGACACGAGATATGTGCAAAGTCGACAAAGATATAAGAAAAATGCTCATTCCCGAGATGGCGCTTCATTTTGCTAGTGCTCGGCCTCAATGTCTGGAAGACTTGGAGACTGCAGTCATCCTATCGGCATCTACCGATACTACTTCTCGAAGAGCTTGCTTACTGCAGTCATCTTGTCCACATTGTGTCCACTAGCCTGGTAGAGGTCGCGAACCGCCTGGTAATCGGCCTTCAAGCTGGGAGTCTGCATGAAGACTGACTTGCGCACGCCATACAAGAGGGCTGACTTGGTCACCTTCTCGAACAACAGCCAGCCGGTGGGGACCCACATCACTTCCGACTTCTCAAGCTGGCAGCGGTAAAACTTAAGTCCGGCATCAGTCATCTTCTTCAACGTGTCCGGCGAGAGCGCCTCCATGATCTCGATCAGCTGCTTCGTGCTTGTAGCCTTCAGCCCGACGCCGGGAAGCTGCTGAAGAAGGCTGGATGCCCGGACCATGTACACACTCAAGCTCCCGAAGACCAAGATTTTCAACGCACCGGCTGAGTTTGGAGTGAAGTTGCACTGCTCAAAGTCATTCGAGTAGCCAAACAGCCACGACGTGGAACCCCATGAGGCTGAAACCTCGTCATAGCAATGATTTGCTACAAGTAAGTACAACAGCAGTTCAGGTTCACACAATCACTTTTTGCAGCGGTCTAGTGCAAAACTTCAAAGCCAATTCGACCCCGCACTCAACCCCACCCGCCTCGGACATGTCAACGATCTTGCCCTTGAAGTTGCACAGCAATTGAGCAAACATGGCCTCCGTTACTTCCTTTCCCTGCGTGGGCATCAATGGTTGGGTGTGCTTGCCGTCGCTCTTGACAGCATCCTGTTTGCTGTAGCGGATGCCGTAGGAAGTCGTTACGACAGTCATGAGCTTCTCAGCCATCCACGCCTGCACGATGTCGCTGTCGGCGACGATGAAAGGGATGTCAAAGTCCACCGAGTTGCCCAGCTCCTTCTTCACCGATAGTCGTGGCACCGTCGTGAAGGCATCTGCAGGACAAGTGAAGAAGGTCTTTGTCGAGCCCGCAGCCACCGCTTTGATCTTCTTGGCACGTTCTTCCGCATCCTTCTTCACTGTCTGAGCAGCCTTCTTTTCATCTTCGGCCTTCCGCTTTGCTTCTGCCCGCGCAGCAGCCGTTTACACTGCCTTGATGTGCTTGCCAAGCTCAACCGCTGCATGTTTCATGCCTGCCGTGAGCTCCACCAAACAAGCCAACATACGTGCCCACACCAACCGCTGCTTCATCAATTTTTTCTCGTCCTGGATGCCATCGAAAGACTCCTGCACAAAGCCTGTCATGTACTTGCTGGAGCGAAGAACTGCGGAGACTTCATAGCGATGAGGCCTGATGCATCCTTCACGAAGCCATCGGGAGTCTGCTCGGTCTTGGGCTCGGATTCTTCGGCCTCTGCCCCATCGGCCTTGGGCTTGGATTCTTCGGACTCTGCCGCTTCCTTGTACTCGTCTGGCACGGTCTCCCCCTGCCACTCCAACACGCACGCGAGGTGCACGTGCACTCGCTTGATGTACATGTCCCGGGCCATCTTGTCTGTCTCGATAAGAGGTGCCTTGCCAACCGCCACCGTGTGCTCATTGAGCCTATCCTTGGCCACTGTCACATGCCGCTGCAAATCAGCGGTCTTAGAGGAAAGGTCGCCTGTCATCTTGGAAACGAATGCGGTCTTGGCATTGAGCAAGGGGACTTTCTTCTTGGAGGACTTGCCAGCCTTCAGAAAGCCCTCCTCGTCGTCACTGTCCTGCAAGCACTGTAACCCCGTGCAAAGTCGGAGGAGTAGGAGTGAGCGGGAGAGAGCGGGAGTAGCAGTAGCAGTAGCAGTTTTATCAGCAGTAGCAGCAGCAGCGGCAGTACAAGCAGTAGAAGCAGTAGTAGGAGTAGTAGTAGTAGTAGTAGTAGTAGTAGTAGTAGTGGTAGTAGTAGTAGTAGTAGTAGTAGTAGTAGTCAGAAGAAGCGCCCATTACAAAGTAGTGGAAGGGTGTGTTTTAGCTCTGAAATCCGACTTTGATGAACCCCTACATTGCCAACCAGCAGTTCCACCCGGCCTCCAAAGTTGTCGGTGCTTCTTTCTTGGTCTCCTTCGGCTTCTCCTTCGCCGGCTGCACGGCTCCGCTTGCAGGGTTTGGGGATCCTGGCTGGCTGACTCTATCCTCAGCATCGGAATCATCGTCGAAGGTGGCCGAAGGACCGCCACCTTGCCAGCTCGGCCGCTCGGAAGTGGCCACGCTGGATTGACCTTGAAAGAACTCGTGACCGAAGCCAGTGTTCAATTCATGGACATGCATTCTCATGGCATCTCTGTCCTTGTCCTTCATCTTCTTCTTACGGTTTGTCCCCTCCAAGGCAGACTCGTCGACAAAGCGCTCTTTCGCCTTGTCTTCATACTCCTCCTTCGCCAACCATAATCGGAGCTGGCCCTGGAAACCACCATGATCTCGCCGACAAGAACTTGCCTCGGCCTCGTTCCATAAGCCCTTGGCCTGCTCTTCGGTGCGGCCGAATTTGGACACCTGGCGAATGATGAATTCCCGTTTCTCATACGGCTTGGTTTTAGCCCCCTCCCTGATTGAAACACGAAGCCCGAAGCGAGCATTCCATTCACTCCAATCACAGACCCCGTTCTTGAAGAGCGGCGAGGCAATATTTCGTTGGGACCACTCCTCGACCATCTCAACTGCCTTGGCATCATCCTTGAAGCCATCGACAACGGCCTGCTGTTGTTCTGCACTCACCTTTGACGCCGAATACTTCGCATTGTCGGCATGACAATGGTGATGCCTGCAAAACTTCGAGCCTGGCTTTTTGAGCTCGTCACACGTGGGCATCAAGCACTCCTTCTGAACTTCCTTTCGGCCACGCTTAGAAGAGGTAACGGAGTTCGTTGATGCCGCCGACGCAGCTGATGCCTCGCTCAAACGCTTCTTCCTCGTGGCTGCACCTCCCAAGGTACTTCCTGAGAAGAGGGACACTGACACGGCCGACGCGGCATCATCGCCGCCTAAATCGAAATCCTCCATATCAGAATCTCAGACACGTAGAAAGATCGGTGCGCAGCAAAAGAATGCTGGCTGCACCGGCTCACTACCGTCACTACCTGGAAAACACAACAACAGTACCTGAGCTTCGAGAGTGAGTCCACGAAGCAGCTACCAAGAACCTTCAAGACACTGCCCAACGGACGATTGCACACGAAAGCAAAGCACCTCCAAGTTTGACTCGCTCCGGTGAGTCAAGATCACTGCTCTGGCCCTCGCACACAGGCCTGCAACACTCCAGCTGCAGCCCGCATATGCCAGCTCGAGCATTATATTCCGACTTTGTCTACACCAACCTTAAACCTTAAACCCTCAGGAGCCGAATTTGCTTAATGCACCACCAACTAGGAGCTTAAACCCTAAACCCCAAGGTCTTGAGTTTGCTTAATGCACCACCCACTAGGCCCTAAACCCTAAACCCTAAAAAACCGAATTTGCTTAACCACCAGGTCAGTCTGTCGGGGACTGTAGACCCTGCCTAAGCGACTGTATACCCTGCCTAAGAGGAAAACACGTTTCTCCCTTAAGTAGGGTCTACAGTAGGGTCCAAACTAGCAAAACCCAATAAAACGACCCTTGCTAGACCCTCACAGCACCACCCACTAAGCCTAGTCCTCAACCCTAAGCCCCAAAACCCCAGGACACACACACACACACGCACCCGGGTCACTACGCTCAAGTGTTGATTGGCACAAGGGCTTATAAGGGGACGACGACGACGACGACGATGCTTACGGGGTGTCTGGGAGCTTATGGACAGTGGACCTCTACAACGCAAACACTGATCGAACAATAACAATCCTAACATGCTTCTGCTGTCTGACTGATGCGGTGGCTGCAGCTGCTAATCTGCTACAGGGACTACAGTGACTACAGTCGAAGCACAGCTCGGGGTCGCGGCACGTTCTCACTTGCCTGTGTCCTGCTGGCACCATGGCAAGCTTCTGACCCATCATCATCTGGTTTCTCTGGCACAGTTATTCGCCCTGGCAGTTTGGAAAGCTCTGACCGCCTGCGGCAATGCCCAAACACAAACAGCATCCAGCAAACATAACTGGGCACATGCAAAGAGTTGCCTGCCAGGAATCTTGCATCTGTGTCTGGCAAACTCTCCAGCAATGGAAAGAGTGGCGTAAGACCACGGGCCCCTGCCAAAGCAAGGAAGACATCCAATCCTTGTACCGCAAAACATTCAAGAGGCACAGCTAGTCGGCGATGAACATAGGAATAGATACTGGGGTGTGTGTCCATAGGTGGAAACAGTGGGCCTGCCGCTGGTCCATAGCCAGGGTTGTGATCTAGGTCGCACAGATAGGAACCATTCAAAGCCTTGCCTGCTTCAAAACGATCATCATACTTCCGCTTTCGGCTTACTGCCCCCACTGGAAGCACCATTGGCAGCAGCTGTTCCACCGTCTGACATTGCCAATTCTTTGGCAACTTTTTGTTCCTCTTCGCGGCTCGCTCTGAAACCCATGCAGACACTTGCTCATCAGAGGCAACAAAGTATGCATCCCCCGTCAAGAAACAGTCTCGATGAAACGGATTGCTCCACATCTCCTGAATTTCTGCATCTGTCTCAGGACCAATCCACACAAAGGACTTTTTGGAAACGCCTGCAGTAAAGGTCCGAGGCCGTCGCACTGGAAAGCCGAGGTGATGTGGGCTTGTCTTGACATGCACCACATGGTACACATCTTCCAAGCCACCAGCCTGTTTGTGCGCCGGATATGCATGGGCACACTCTGTGAAAAAGAAATCTTCTGCACACAGCTCTGCAGCACGCATACGGTCTACGTGCCAAATGTGATGCCATCTTTCACTCGGACCAGCCTCACGCTTCTGTTTTCCTAACTTGCTGTAGTCTGTGCAACACAAACCAGCAGCTGAAACTGTCAAGGGCTTCTGCTGAGACCTGCTCGGTTTCTCCCACCAAGCAGTAGGGGCATTCCCAGAGGATGATGCATCGGAAGATGTGCTATCCAGCCTGCTGAAGCAACATCCTGGATACACTGGGCAGGCTTTCTTGTGCACTGCACAAAAGGAGCGACTGTCTGCTTCCAGTAGTGAGCATCTGTTCTGCATCAGAAACTCATGAATGTCAGAGTTCATCTTGCCTGCTGCCTCTGCCTCTGTGCTCAGAGTGGGGGCCACAGCATTGATCCATTCTGCAGCCCAGTCTGGCAAACGATGGTCCAAATTGCCAAACACACAACTCTCACCATGATCTAGCAAGTGGGATATCCGCTTCAGCAGATCTTGCTGCACCCCGCCACAATCACAGCTTCGAACACACTGCAAGGACATATCCTGCGGCTCCAAAGAGCCGCCTTGTACCTGCAGATATTGCAACAAGACCCGCAAACTCTCGCGGGGAGCATCATAACCAGAGAAGTCACTGTAGTACATGACACCCGGCCTCACCACTTCACATGCTGCATGCAACAGGTCTGTACTAACAAGTGGTTTCAGCAAGTTCTCTTCCCAAAAGGACATGTCTTCCTGGCTGCTGAACCCTGGCTGTCTTTCTGTTTCTGTATCCATGGCCCACGAGCTACCACGCACATATTGGTGTAGAGCAGGGCAACAACTGCTTCCAGAACTGCCACCACTGGCCCTGCTGTTGCGCTTCGGCGGCATCTTGACTCACTGCGCTACACAAGGCAGGAGTTCAGTTTGTTGCTAGGGACATGCACGTCACTCACAACAGCAAAGTTGCTTGTGCAAAGCCAAGATCACATAGAGTTTCTATGTTACCTATTTGATTTGCATTGGAGGACTGCGGAGGACCTGGAAATCTCTGTTACAACACTAAATCACAGGATCCACAGCTGACACTACCTGGGATGCTTCAAACATGCCCAACACTGCAAAAACCCTGCTGAGGCAAGCAAAGTGCAGGATGTTCTCTTGAAGTCGCCCGGATGCCTCCAGTGCAGCACAGAAACCACCCAAGGCAAAGGGGAACCTCAAAAAACATGCCATGATCTCTATTTCCTTCCAAAATCATGAGAAGAGGCTGCTGTCACTCAAAAAATCGATGCTTACAAGCCAGAATGCCAAGAAATCCTCTGCCAGCACACAAGGCCGACTGCCAAAGCCCAAGAGGGCCCTGGTTTCATTGAAATTTCGTTCAAAATTCGTTCAAAATTCGTTCACAATTCATTTAACCATAGAAATCTATTAAAAATATATAAAATCCATCCAAATTTTTCGTTCAAAATTCGTTCAAAATTCGTTCAAAATTCATTGAGCCCCTGACAAGCTGCTAAGCCACCCAGTGCTCCTTCTGGCTCCTTCTCCATGGAAAAAACTCAATCTTCAGCAGAAATGAACACAATCAGCACAGTAAGGTGGCTCCATCACTGCCCCCGGCACAAACTAGCATCATGGAGTATATAAATCTGAAAATGGTGCCTGTTAGCGAGCTTAGGAAGGGCTTCCTATAATTTTCATATCATATCAATCAAACTATCTGATTAAAACTGAAATGGGACCTGTTTAGTGAGCTGAGGAAGTGCCTCATATAAATTTCATAATATATCAGTCATATCAGTCACTCAGAGTGGACATGATGAACCTGGTTGCACAATCCATAATAACTGAGTGGGTTTGCTGCTGAAACCACGAGAACCACTGCTGTTGAAGCTGCTTGTGACACTTTCCCATCTGTACTCTCACACGTGAGGCACACCACAACACAGACGAGGCTTTTGCACACCATCAGCAGGAAACTCCGGATCTGGGTGCACATCACCGCCGGGCACGCTTCTTTGCAGCGACATCACGGCTCGCTCTCGTGAACGACATGACTGGATCCACTGTCTCTGGCAAAGTGCCATCTTGCTGGGCTTTCACGACTTTGTTCCAAAGATTGGCATGCTTCTCCCTCGTGGCTACTTTGGCACCCCAGGCACCCCAACATTTCAGCATCTGCAACGTCTCAGCTTCCGTCCTAGAGCGGGTCACGGCTTTGACATGTTTGCGACATTTCTGGCTGCCAGTCTTGTGGTCTGGGTGGTGGCATGTCATTTCAAAACCGTCGAAAACACCATTCTTGAAGACCTGGGTGACATGGTTCAAGCCAAAGGCAAAGCTGTTGTTCACATTGGCTGCTCGCGCGGCCGGTTCTGCTGATCTTGGCACGGGCACTGCACGAGACTCAGCTGCTGCGTCGTCCTCATCGCTCGATCTTGAACCTGAGGAAGAAGGGGCTGCAGCAACATCCCTATCGCTCGAGCTTGAACCTGAGGAAGAAGAGGAAGAAGAGGATGAGT